GTGTGTGTGAGTGAGAGTGTGTGAGAGTGAGAGTGTGTGAGAGAGAGAGTGAGAGTGTGTGAGTGAGAGAGTGAGAGTGTGTGAGAGTGAGAGAGTGAGTGTGTGTGAGAGTGAGAGTGTGTGAGAATGAGAGTGAGAGTGTGTGAGAGTGAGAGTGTTTGAGAGAGTGAGAGTGTGTCAGAGAGTGAGAGAGAGTGAGAGAGTGAGAGTGAGAGAGAGAGAGAGTGAGAGAGAGAGAGAGTGAGAGAGTGAGAGAGTGAGAGTGTGGGAGTGAGAGTGAGTGAGAGTGTGTGAGTGAAAGAGAGTGAGAGTGTGTGAGAGTGAGAATGAGAGTGTGTGTGAGTGAGAGCGTGTGAGAGTGAGAGTGTGTGAGAGTGAGAGTGTTTGAGTGAGAGTGAGAGTATGTCAGAGAGTGAGAGAGAGTGAGAGAGTGAGAGTGAGAGAGAGAGTGAGAGTGTGTGAGAGTGAGAGTGAGTGTGTGAGAGTGAAAGAGAGTGAGAGTGTGTGAGAGTGTGTGAGAGTGAGAGTGAGAGTGTGTGAGAGTGAGTGTGTGTGAGAGTGAGAGTGTGTGAGAGTGAGAGTGAGAGTGTGTGAGAGTGAGAGTGTGTGAGAGTGAGTGTGTGTGAGAGTGAGAGAGAGTGAGAGAGTGAGTGTGTGTGAGAGTGAGAGTGTGAGAGAGTGAGATAGAGAGAGAGAGTGAGAGTGAGAGTGAGAGTCAGAGTGAGAGAGAGAGAGAGAGAGTGTGAGAGTGAGAGTGAGTGAGTGAGTGCGTGAGTCAATACAATGCACACCTGTGATAATTGGAACAGATTCCACAGGTGTGTAATTTACTCTTATCTGTAGAATAGAATTTTATTTGTTTAGACGGACTCTGATCACATCTGTGATCAACGGGCAAAACAGAGAGCCACAAAGCCATATAAATCGACAGACAGCCAGAACAAGCAGACAGTAAGACAGATGTGCAGACAGAGAAACAGACAGGTAGACAGGCAGGTGAGACCGAGTCGCAGACCAAAGGGTGTATAAACTTTCTGCAACAGGATCATGCCACATGTTATACTATTAATTGCTTTAAATATACAGAAAAGTTGTACTTTTTTGACATTCTAAAGAAGGATCATGTCCCTAGTTTCACTAAATTTTGCTGATAATAGATATGAAAAGTGTAGTTTAGAAATTGTATTGCTGTATCTTGGCCCCTGCCACTATATCTAGTTTTTAATACATTGCAAATTTATCCTTACCACAATATCCAACCAAACCTATCCAGACCTAACCATTCCTAACTAACCAATCCTAACAATTTTCTGAACAACCTAATACGTTTTCCCAATAATGGAACAGCTGAGTTAGCATTTAAAACTACAAACTTAAAAATCTCTAATACTGCATACAACTTTTTCAATTGCATTTGTTTTCCTGTGATATAACAGCTGAGTCAACTGTTAAAACTAAAAGCTATTTTTGTTTTCTAAACTTACACACAAGCCACATAATAAAATGCAAACCTTTTTCTGTTTTGCTACAGTTCAGTTAATTTACGAGCTGGTGTCGCTCGTATCAAGTGTGGTGGATGGTGGCTGATGTAAAATGGATGACACGGTCGGCGGGAGTGTCCACACTCAGTGGGCCGTAATTATCAATCATTACTACGGAAGGCTTATCTAAAACACTGGAAAGCCTTCCCCAATCCCCCACCGTCAGTCAAATCAGTCATAAGGAGCATATGATTTCATATGTTGACTGATAACCACGGATCACAATGAGGCCTATCTGCTGCCTCGGCTGAACACGTGTTGACCCACATGGAGTCCCGCCTCAAAACCTTAATATCTTTCCCCACGCTCATGTAATTTGGATCCCGACACAATCCACGATAGCGGGACACCGTAGGGATATGAAATTGATGTTTACCACGGAGATATGGTGGGGGGTGGTGCCCTGACTTGGTCACTACTTCCCTGGGGACACCTTGCCCCAGACAACGCCGGCCCTAGACTGACTTTGGCGGGCTTCAAGCTGCATGGGCACAACGCTTCCTCTGTGTTTTAACTTGACCAATAAGAGCGAAGCCGGCAGGCCTAGCCGTGCTGTGACGAATGAGGGCTCTTTCCCCTCGCCCTCACCCTACGTCATCGACTGATGACGACACGGCTTTCCGGCCCTGCGTATCGACAGCGAGCCGTTAGCTCTGACCACCAACATCCTGCTTCATCTCCCTGAACACATTTTACAAGTAAAATATATCAATTGTACTAACTCCATTCACATATCAATTACAAACTTTCTTGTGATCTTAATGAACAGCCCTAAACTTGGGTTTTCTTCAGACTCCACACAAGGACATTTAGTGTAGGAACTATTTGTGTAGAGCATTAGTGTGCAGCCATACACTAAAACCCTGATTTTAAGCCTCCGCAGCTGCCTTGTGGGAGAAGCTGCCTTGTGGCCATACCTACGTTTTGGGAAAGGCTTCAGGAGTCATCCTCGAGGAAAAATCCGGAGTTGGATCCCTTAAGGCAGTTCACTGTTGACTTCAACGTCGTTTTGGCAGCTTGTGGGGAAAACTGACTTGTCAAATTTATATATTTTTATTAATTAAAATTATTTATAGTAATTTATATAGCGATTTATTTCTTACGTTAATTTATTTATTTCGATAGTGGACTATATGATGTTTAAAGTGGACTGTATGATTTAAATTCCCACAAATCGTTTCCTTGGCCCACTTGTCTAGGTCAATTCAGCAAAGGGAGGATAAACGAGAACGGGCAACGTCTGCTAGAACTCTGCTGCCTTCATGGTCTCTATGTTACCAACACGTTCTTTGGCACAAAGCCTCAACACCAAGTCTCTTCGAGTCATCCCATATCCGAGCATAGATACCATCTTGATCTGATTCTTACAAGGCGTGCAATTCTACCCAGCGTCAAGATTACGTTTAGCTACCAGAATGCTGTCTGTAACACCGACCACTCCTTGGTATGTAGCAGGGTCAAGATGCAAACAAAGAAGTTTCACTGGTTCAAAAAGGAGGGCAGACCTCGTATCGACACCACCAAGACCCGCAATCAGGGCAAGGTGGAAGATTTTGCACGTGTGCCTGAGGAAGCTCTCCCTGGCCCAGCTGGGGTCACCGCCTGTAAAAGATGGGAGCACTTCAAAGACGCTGTGTTCAACGCTGTCTTGTCCACCTTCGGCAAGAAGACCAGCAGGTCTGCAAACTGGTTCGAGGCTCACTCGGAAGAAATGATATCAGTCATCGAAGATATGAGAAATGCCTTAGCAGCGTACGAAGCCTGCCAAAGTCAGTTTAATTTGCACATCCTTCGGGAAATCCACTGCAAAGTGCAGCAGTGCGCCAGGCAATGCACCAACGACTATTGCCTCCAGCTGTGCTCCCAGATACAGATTGCAGCAGATACAGGCAGTGTAAAGGGGATGTATGACGGCATCAAGCAGGCCCTTGGCCCAATCCAGACGACTACCCCCACTGAAATCTGACACAGGCGAAGTGATTCGGGAAAAGACACTGCAAGTGAAGCACTGGGTCGAGCACTACTCTGAGCTACACGCCAGGGAGAATATGGTCACTGAAGACGCCCTGAGCGCCATTGAGCGTCAGCCTGTGATAAAGGTGCTCAACAGCGAACCGACCTTCGAAGAACTCAGCGAGGCCCTAGATTCCCTTGCTTCTGGCAAAGCTCTTGGAAAAGATGGCATTCCTGCCGAGGCCTTGAAGTGCTGCAGAGGTAACTTACTCTTGGAGCTGCGTGAAATCCTCTGCCTCTGCCGGAGAGGAGAGGTGCCACAGGACATGAGGGACGCTAATATCGTCACGCTGTACAAGAATAAAGGTGACGGGGTGACTGCAACAGTTACCGCGGCATCTCCCTCCTTAGCATTCTAAACATTGTAAACAACGAGAAACGTTGTAAAGCTGTTTGCTCAAGTCACATTGAAGGGGCTCCAAGTACTTGCAGAGAGTCTACTCAGAATCACAGTGTGGATTCAGAGCTAACAAGTAAACCATCGACATGGTCTTTTCCCTCAGACAACTGCGGGAGAAATACAGTGAACAGAAGCAGTCACTCTTCGTTGCCTTCATTGATTCGACGAAGGCCTTCGATCTCGTCAGCAGGGATGACCTGTTCAAGATCCTCCTTAAGATCGGATGTCCACCCAGGCTCCTCAGCATCATCAGATCTTTTCACGAGAACATGAAGGGCACCGTGGTTTTTGACGGTTCAACATCAGACGCCTTCCACATCCGAAGCGGAATAAAGCAGGGCTGCGTCCTGGCTCCAAACCTATTCGGGATTTTCTTCGCAGTTATGCTGCAACATGCCTTCGGATCTGCCACAGATCCCATTTACCTTCGGACCAGGTCGAACGGAAAGCTCTTCAACCTCGCCAGGTTAAGAGCCAAGGCAAAAGTTCAGATGAGGTGTTTGCATGACTTCCTTTTTGCCAACGACACAACAATCACCGCCAACTCAGCTGAAGACCTCTAACAGCTACTGACCCACTTCAGCGAGGTCTGCCAGGCCTTCGGAATCACCATCATCCTGAATAAAACACACGTACTGGGACAGAGAGTGGACTCCCCACCTAACATCGGCGTCTCTGATTATAAACTGGAAGTCGTCCACGACTTCATATACCCGGGCTCCACAAATCTCTGACTTCCTCTCTCTTGTCACGGAACTCAACAAACGCATCGGTAAGGCATCTACAATCATGTCCAGACTGACAAAGAGAGTGTGGACCAACAATAAACTGACCGAGTACACAAACATACAGGTTTACAAAGCCTGCGTCCTGAGCACTCTAATATATGGCAGTGAGTCTTGGACACTCTGCGCCCGACAGGAAAAAAGCTGAACGCTCACCACATACGCTGCTTTCGACATATCTTGGATATCACTTGGCAGGACAAGGTGACAAACAACAGCGTCCTGGGGAGAGGGAGAGCTAGAATTCCTAGCTTGTTCACAATGCTGAAGCAGAGACGAATGAACTGGCTCGGGCACGTGATGCAAATGGGCGACGGCCGAATCCCCAAGGATCTACTGTATGAGAGCTGACGCAGGGACGACGTCCAACAGACAAAACCCCAGCTAAGATACAAAGACGTGTGCAAGAGGGACCTGAAAACCATGGACGTTGATCTGAAACACTGGCCGCAGACCGATCAGCCTGGAGGCAGTCTATTCAGAAAGGTCTCTCCAGGTTCGAGGAGACACTTACAAAGCAATCAGAGGCAAGTAAACAGAGATGTAAAGCCGGTAGCCAAGAGGCCAGACCAGAATCAGACTTCGCTTGTGCTTAATGTGGAATGGACTGCCATTTATGGATTGAACTTATGACAACTAGAGCACAACTCCATAGTCTCCCGAGACTGTAGGATGCCGTTGAATATACACACACTGACCAAAGGGCGGGGTTCATTTACCTGTGTTAGTCTAGGGTCCAAACACAATTAGATCTGGCCATGGAGTTCCTCATAGGTAAGCCAGACAGGCCTTCGTTTAAGTAAGAACAAGAAGATGGGAAAATCACCTTTGCTCACCGAAGGATGAATAATATTAACAACTGATATCCACTGTCTGACAAAAGTTTAACTTGACATTATAATATTGTTAAAATTCCATATAATTTACCTGCATTAAACATACAAAAGAATTAAGATCAATTACCAGAATCTCTTGGGGGATTCTTTACCCATCAGTTTGTAATGCGAATATTAATTATAAATTAGTGTTCCTATTCCTATTCAATATATTTAATAAAAATATATATCTTGATAGGTAAAACAATTTCGGATTAATATTGGAATACGATTTGCAGATAAAGCTTCTGTGTAATCGTATATAAGGCAATATTAACATTTACTAATCGCCTATTGACATCTTAGAATACGTCTGTTTATTTGCATGAAAACTTTAAATAATCATATGCATTCCCTCTGCAACATCTTAGAATAATCGATTATTTACTTTTAAATAAAAAATTATCCTTACTATCGTATGCAAATTTAAGAAAACTTTAAAATAAAGTTATGTTTATGCCTAAAGTCTAGTTATAAAAGGTTTACAGACATGAACTGTACTCCTGTGTTACAGGAAGTGTACTCCTGTGTTACAGGAAGTGTACTCCTGTGTTACAGGAAGTGTACTCCTGTGTTACAGGAAGTGTACTCATGTGTTACAGGAAGTGTACTCATGTGTTACAGGAAGTGTACTCATGTGTTACAGGAAGTGTACTCATGTGTTACAGGAAGTGTACTCATGTGTTACAGGAAGTGTACTCATGTGTTACAGGAAGTGTACTCCTGTGTTACAGGAAGTGTTCCCCTGTGTTACAGGAAGTGTACTCATGTGTTACAGGAAGTGTACTCTTGTGTTACAGGAAGTGTACTCTTGTGTTACAGGAAGTGTACTCTTGTGTTACAGGAAGTGTACTCTTGTGTTACAGGAAGTGTACTCTTGTGTTACAGGAAGTGTACTCTTGTGTTACAGGAAGTGTACTCTTGTGTTACAGGAAGTGTACTCTTGTGTTACAGGAAGTGTACTCTTGTGTTACAGGAAGTGTACTCTTGTGTTACAGGAAGTGTACTCTTGTGTTACAGGAAGTGCACTCTTGTGTTACAGGAAGTGTACTCTTGTGTTACAGGAAGTGTACTCTTGTGTTACAGGAAGTGTACTCTTGTGTTACAGGAAGTGTACTCTTGTGTTACAGGAAGTGTACTCTTGTGTTACAGGAAGTGTACTCTTGTGTTACAGGAAGTGTACTCTTGTGTTACAGGAAGTGTACTCTTGTGTTAAGTCTTCTGCTCGATTGGCGAAGAGTGTGACGCCAGGGGTTGCTTCCGACGGTGGGAGGGGTCATCGCGCCCCACTGGGCAGCTACCGCCCGCCTCAAGCTGGGCAAACCCCAGCCAATGAGGTGTTGCCTCGCCACGGTCCGTTAACCTCACTGGGTGCGTGGGGTTTAGGGTGAAAACTGACAAGCGGCCCGACAACTTTGCACCAAGCAATACCAAACCAAAGAAGAAAATATCAACTGCCCTAAAGCTGGGCACATTGAACGTCAGGACACTGACACCAGGTTTCTCTGACGACCTGCAAGAAATCAATGACGCCCGAAAAACAGCAATCATCGATAGGGAGCTGAGCAAGCTGCAGATGGATATTGTTGCTCTCCAAGAGACCAGGCTCCCAGGATCAGGATCTGTGAGAGAGAGGACCTTCTCTTTCTTCTGGCAAGGAAAACCTCCAGATGAGACCAGAGAACATGGTGTGGGATTTGCCGTCAGGAATGCACTGTTGGGACACATTATGCCACCGATGGAGACGAATTCTGTCTCTGCAACTGTACTCCCAAACAGGACCAGTAATGTAATTAGTGCATATGCACCAACCCTGACTTCTCCAGCAGAGGCAAAGGAAAAATTCTACGATGACCTCAACAGAGTCATAGCGAGAATCCCTGTAAAGGAGCCACTGTTCATCCTCGGCGACTTCAACGCCAGAGTGGGTGCCGAGCACAACATTTGGCCCACTTGCCTGGGTCAATTCGGCATAGGAAGGATGAATGAGAACGGGCAACGTCTGCTAGAACTCTGCTGCCTTCATGGTCTTTGTGTCACCAACACGTTCTTCGGCACAAAGCCTCAACACCGAGTATCTTGGAGACACCCCAGATCCAAGCACTGGCACCAGCTTGACCTGATTCTTACCAGGCGTGCAAGTCTACCCAGCGTCAAGATTACGCGTAGCTACCAGAGTGCTGTCTGTGACACCGACCACTCCCTGGTATGTAGCAGGGTCAAGATGCAACCAAAGAAGATTCATCACTCGAAAAAGGCGGGCAGACCTCACATCGACACCACCAAGACCCGCAACCAGGACAAGGTGGAAGATTTTGCACACGTGCTCGAGGAAGCTCTCCCTGGCCCAGCTGGGGTCACTGCCTGTAAAAGATGGGAGCACTTCAGAGACGCTGTGTTCAACGCTGCCATTTCCACCTTTGGCAAGAAGACCAGCAGGTCGGCAGACTGGTTCGAGGCTCACTCGGAAGAGATGACACCTGTAATCGAAGAGAAGAGAAACGCCTTGGCAGCCTACAAAGCCTGCCCAAGTCAGCGCAACTTACAGATCCTTCGGGCCGTCCGCTGCAAAGTGCAGCAGAGCGCCAGGCGATGTGCCAACAACTATTGGCTCCAGCTCTGCTCCCAGATACAGACTGCAGCGGATACAGGCAATGTAAGGGGAATGTATGACGGCATCAAGCAGGCCCTCGGCCCAATCCAGAGGAAGACCGCTCCTCTGAAATCTGCCACTGGCGAGGTGATTCAGGACCAGACACTGCAGCTGAAGCGCTGGGTCGAGCACTACTCTGAGCTATACGCCAGGGACAATGTGGTCACCGAAGATGCCCTGAGCGCCATTGAGTGTCTGCCTGTGTTAATGGAGCTCGACAGTGAACCGACCCTGGAAGAACTCAGCGATGCCCTAGACTCCCTTGCTTCTGGTAAAGCTCCTGGCAAAGATGGCATTCCTGCTGAGACCTTGAAGTGCTGCAGAGGTAGCCTGCTCATGGAGCTGCACGAAATTCTCTGCCTCTGCTGGGAAGAAGGAGAGGTGCCACAGGACATGAGGGATGCCAACATCGTCACGCTGTATAAGAATAAAGGTGAGAGAGGCGACTGTAACAACTACCGTGGAATCTCCCTCCTCAGTATTGTCGGAAAGCTGTTTGCTCGAGTCGCATTGAAGAGGCTCCAAGTACTTGCAGAGAGAGTTTATCCAGAATCACAATGTGGATTCAGAGCTGGCAGGTCCACCATCGACATGGTCTTTTCCCTCAGACAACTGCAGGAGAAATGCAGGGAACAGAAGCAGCCACTCTTTGTAGCCTTCATAGATCTGACGAAGGCCTTCGACCTCGTCAGCAGGGATGGCCTGTTCAAGATCCTCCCCAAGATTGGATGCCCACCCAGGCTCCTCAGTATCATCAGATCTTTCCATGAGAACATGAGGGGCACCGTGGTCTTTGATGGCCTAACATCAGGCGCCTTTGACATCCGAAGTGGAGTAAAGCAGGGCTGCGTACTGGCTCCAACCCTATTCGGGATTTTCTTCGCAGTTATGCTGTTGCACGCCTTCGGATCTGTCACGGAAGGCATTTACCTCCGGACCAGGTCGGATGGAAAGCTCTTTAACCTCGCCAGGCTGAGAGCCAAGACAAAGGTTCGGCTGAGGTGTCTGCGCGACTTCCTCTTTGCCGACGACGCAGCAGTCACTGCCCACTCAGCTGAAGACCTCCAACGGCTCATAACCCGCTTCAGCGAGGCCTCTCAGGCTTTCGGACTCACCATCAGTCTGAAGAAAACACAAGTCATGGGACAAGGAGTGGACTCCCCACCTGACATCGGCATCTCTGATTCCAAACTGGAAGTTGTTCACGACTTCGTGTACCTGGGCTCCACAATCTCTGACTCCCTCTCTCTTGATACGGAGCTAAACAAACACATCGGTAAGGCATCTACTACCATGTCCAAACTGACAAAGAGAGTGTGGGCCAACAATAGGCTAACTGAGTATACTAAGATTCAGGTTTACAGATCCTGTGTCCTGAGCACTCTCCTTTATGGCAGTGAGTCTTGGACACTCCGCGCCCGTCAGGAAAGACGGCTGAATGCCTACCACATGCGCTGCCTTAGACATATCTTGGACATCACCTGGCAGGACAAGGTGACAAACAACAACGTCTTGGGGAGAGCAAGAATCACCAGCATGTACACAATGCTGAAACAGAGACGAATGCGCTGGCTCGGGCACGTTGTGCGAATGGGCGACGGCAGGATCCCCAAGGATCTCCTGTATGGAGAGCTGAGGCAGGGAAAGCGTCCAGTAGGCAAGCCCCAGCTACGGTACAAAGACGTATGCAAAAGGGACCTGAAAGCCATGGACGTCGATCTTGCTATATGGGAGACACTGGCTGCAGACCGTTCAGCCTGGAGGTAGTCTGTTCAACGAGGTCTCTCCAAGTTCGAGGAGTCACTTGCCAAGGAATCGGAGGCAAAGAGACAGAGAAGGAAAGCCAGTAACCAGGAAGACAGACCAGAATCGGACTTCGTTTGTGCTCGGTGTGGGATGGACTGCCACTCTCGGATTGGCCTCATCAGTCACACCAGACGCTGCACCAGGATTGACAACTAGGGCGCAACTCCATAGTCTCCCGAGACTGAAGGATGCCTACTACTCTTGTGTTACAGGAAGTGTACTCTTGTGTTACAGGAAGTGTACTCTTGTGTTACAGGAAGTGTACTCTTGTGTTACAGGAAGTGTACTCTTGTGTTACAGACTGGAGGGTTCTTCGTGGAGGCGGGTGCAGTGGATGGCGAGTTGAACAGCAACACATTGTTCCTGGAGAGAACCCGCAACTGGACCGGACTACTAATAGAACCTTTCCCAGAAATGTATAAAGATCTTGTAAACAAACATAGGAAAGCCTACTCGATAAATGCTGCTCTGGCCGTCAGCAATGTTTCTGCACAAGTTCCCTTCATGTAAGTACCACAAGTCTTAACAAAAATGTACATATTTATTAACAAAATTTATATTATATTTTCAATCTCCCATAATTGAACGTTTATCATATGCAAGTATAAATTAATATATCTGTACTATAAGAAAGAATGTCTGTCTGTCTCACACAAACATAGACAGTATTACCCAAATTAGGAAAGGGAATGGTCTGGGGTATGGGATGAACATAGGATGATCGGAGTGGCCAGAATTAAAAAAAGGAACTGTGTGCCAGTGCCATATATTGACCCCCCCCCCCACCACCACTATTTTTGGCACTGTTCACTAGCTACAGAGCTAAATATCTTCGAAATCAACTGTTTAAAAATAAATTCCTATAATAATATGCACAATTATTCACTTATCTTGTGAAAGTTAACAACAATTTTCTGTTCCCAATAATCTGCCCGTACGTGCATTAAACAGCAGATTCTTCTACAGCATCAAAGGTTTCTCAAGCCACCTCTCTTTAATTCAGTAATAATTCAATTGTGTCGGGGGACAGGATGCCAGAGTGTATTCATACTCATTTTGTCGTTATCGAGCCCCTCCCCCTTCTCCAAGACCGAATTACTGACCCCGCTCAGGATGCAACCCTCAACAAGTTGACTATCTCCTGAGTACCTACTCACTGCTAGGTGAACAGAGGCATTAGATGAAAGGAAATAGGCCAAACCATTTCTGTCCCACCCGGGATTCGAATCCGGAAGTTTCGATTGTGCGTCCAGGGCGAACTCCAACTATTCCTTTGCAACGTGAAGGTTATGGCAAGTGCCTCTCTTTCAATGGTGCCGCCGGACTGTTCCTCTCCTGTGCCAAAGTTCCTCTCCACGGGACTGAGCACATGCGCGCAATGGGTTGCTCTTGACCCCCTTCATCCTGATGAGCCACCACGCCCCCAGCTGCTGTGCCTGAGGCTTCTGCATACACAAGAAACAGCTTAGAGAAATCTGGATTGACAAGAATATTCTCTGAACTCAGCGCATCTCTTAGTGTAACAAATGCTTTTTCTTGCTCCTTACCCCCCAAAAAAATCTCGTCACCGGTCACCTGATGCAGTGGTTTGGCTATCTGTACAAAGTTTTTTATAAACCTCCTGTAATAATTCGCCAACCCAATGAACGATCTACAGTCCTTGTTTTCAGGCGCTTTGAACTCCCTTATATCTTTAGCTGTGTCTGGCATGGGACTAATATCTGTTCTATCTGCCGTATGCCCGAAAAATTTTACTGACTGGCCAAAGAAGTTGGATCTCTCAACATTTAACTTTAAGTTATGGTCTCGAAATCTGATTAATAATTTTCGTAAATTTGTAATATGCTCCTCTAGTGATTTCCCGAGTACAATGACTTCATCGAGGTATAACAAGGCTATTGGGCCAACGAACCCTGACAACACACGCATCGTTCATGTACTAAATACCACGTGAGCTGACTTCAACCCGAATGGGAGTCTTTTGAATTGACAGAGTTTATTCAAAGCGTTAAACGCTGTAATCTCCATAGATTCTTTTTCCAGTGGTAACTGATAGTATCCACTAAACAAATCTAAAGTCGATAAATACTGCGTTCCCTTCAAATGAGTTAGTGTCTCCTGAATGTTTGGCAAGGGACACGCTTCCTCTGTGGTCAGCTTGTTCACTTTCCTGAAGTCTACACATAACCTCACACACACTTTCTTTTTGCGCACCACTACGAGTGGACTGTGTTATGGAGAACTGGACTGTTCCATGATGTCATGTTCCTGAAGCTTGCTTATTTCCCTCTCACCCTTCCTCTGATGAGCGACTGGAATACTATAAGCTCTGGTGTAAACTGAGTGAGCTCCCTCAACGTCTATCTTATATGACCCCTTAGTGATACATCCAGGAGGTTCATTCTAAAATGCTAATACGTCCTGAAACTCTCGTACTAAGCCCCCAAGTGCTGCCTTTGCATCTCTACCAATTTAAATTTCTTCCACCAATTTTAACATCTCTAATTTACTCTCATCCTGTGTCTCTGAGTGGAGAGGATGAGCCACTGTTGCCCTGTACTCCACGCACCCCCGCCCCCCAGGGTTCCACCCCTTTGGTGGCCCCGCTGAGATGTACCTGTAGCTCTGGCACCAACTACCACCCCTGACTCCCGTCTATTACCCAGCTTCTGACATTTGACCGTCCAGTGGTTGCTAATATGATAAAACTGGCACCATCTCTTCTCGTGCGACACTCTAGCAAGTGTCATCTCAACACCTTCCGCGCCTCCACTACCCCGGGCTCCTAACGTTCACCGCTGGGCCTGCTCATTTTGAGCCTGTTTAATTTTGCTGTGTTCTGTGGTGGACACTTCCCTATAGATATCTGTCGTCGTCAATTTATGGGTAAGATTTTGCTTCGTCAAACACCTTGCATTTGTTACCGGATCATTGAGGTTAGACTCATTAACACAGTATTCACACATATTCCTCTTAAGACTGGAACAGAATACCCCTAATTGTGTACTGTCCCTCACTGGACCTGTGAAAAGCGGGTCCAATGAAGGGACCCGCTACTCGTTCTATCATGTCACTCTGTAGTCGTATCCGGCTTCCGAACGTCCTTATCTGTTCACCCGGCTCTTTTCTCATAGCTATTAATTGCCCCTTTAACACGAGAGGACTCTGGTCCTCAGTGAACATATCGATCAATATTTTCTTAAATTCCTCATATATTGTGACATTCATCATTTCTTTTGAGTGTAAAAACTGTTTAACTTCACTCCTAATCCTACTATATACCAACGAAATTTTTGCCTGGTCAGACCACTTTTCTATGGTTACCGCCTTTATCCAAAGTAAAGAATAATGTTCGTATATCTACCCCAGCCTGTTCCATGGGGGACGCAGCTGCTCTCTCCAGAACAATGGGATATCGTCCTGTACTTTCCTGTCCGATCCGTCTGTTTGGTGTAAGCTCAAAGCCTCGTTCAACCAATTTACCATTTGGTCTACCGGTGTTTTCCCTTCCTCCATCGCCATTTTCGATTGTTGACGTGAAACAACCATTTTACACGCGTTTGCCGTAATTGACTAACTGACGCTGACTGACTGAAGGGGTATGTTCACAACCCCTGGCGCGATTGTAACCATTTACCCATGATTATAGCTGTGATTATAGATGGAAGTATGTTCAAGTCATAGCCTTTACAAAACACATCTCAAAGTCTTCTTTAGCTAGGCCGATGTCCTGCAGAGCATGTGTGCTCTCACTGCACCATCCACCATGTAGTGAGCTCCAGGACTGACAAAACCTTATTAGGTGATCGCTGGTGTAGTGGTTTAAGTACTATGTGCGGCAGGTGGGTGATCTCTGGCTATGCTGGGTCGAGTCCTTGTCGGGTCAAGTCGGAAGTCCATGTCCAAAGAACTTGGAGAAGGCGGGGGAGGAAGAAGGATGGGGGAGTTGAAGTTTTTGAAGAGGATGTGGATGGGAAACGAGGAGGCTTGAAAGTTTGGTGGCCTGTCCACCATGGGTTGACATGATGTATTGATCTTGGAGTACAGCTTTATGTTGGTGTTGATGTTGAGTTTTATTATCTTATTATTTTATATTTTATTGGCTGGTCTGCTGGTGTGTGTCGCTTCTGCTGGCTTGGTGGAGGTGTTTTCCCATTGATGGTGGGGGCAGTGTTCCTCATTCACTGAATATGGCCAGTCTCTTTTTGGTTTTCCTAGGGAGAGGTTTCTTCTTCGCAGATTTCTGTAGATCTCCGACGGTGGGGTTTTCGTGGTCGTGGCATTTGTAGTCTGTAAGGTACACATCCAGTGACCAAGTGTCGCAGAAGTCGCAGGCGGATTCCAGATAGAGGGTTTTGGCGTAGTTGCCCTTATGCAGTAGACGGCGAATTCTTCCCACGGGGAACTGAAGTCCGGTCCTGCTGGAGCAGGACTTTGACTTGCCCTTCACTTTGCCTCCCATGCCGCGTCCTGACATTATCGTTGCTCCTGATTCTGTTATGAGCGTGTGATGATGATTCGGCGGAAGTGTTCGGGTCAAAGAGATCTTAATAATTTATAGCTTGAGGACCATTCAAGCTCTCCTTTACATTTGAGGGCTCATTGTGATCCAAGCATGTGCCAGGATTTGTTGATGAACTGTGTCAAAATATCACTATGAGAGTCGCCAGGAGTTTGTCAGTCATGGCCTAATAATAATAATTATTATTATCCAGAATAATAATTATAATAAGATCCAGAATTATTATTATTATTATTTTTATTATAGTTTGTCTATAAAAGAAATTGTCTATTCGTTTACTTATTATTTGTTTGAGATTGAAGGCCAGATGCATAAGGCTAGCCTCACCAAACTTTGCAGGGATATTAGAGATTTCTCTGGGATGATCATAGGCAGACCCAATGCAGGTCGACCCCATGCATCCCAACCCATTCACTTGGGCTGGACGGCAGAGCGACGGTCTCGTTTCATGCAGGTCGGCGTTCAATCCCCGGCTGTCCAAGTAGTTAGGAACAATTCCTTCGCCCGTCCCATCCCAAATCCTTACCCTGATCCCTCCCAAATCCTATAAATTCCGTCACGCAGGGTGCAGTCGCACCTCCACAGAGCCATTACTCCACAGAGTAATGGCTCAAAAGGGCCACCACTTACGGGCTATTCATGCCCGTGCCAACTTTTGGGTGCCGTAATCTTCATCAATCAATCAATCTATAGTATAGACATTAACAGGTGATGAATAATTTGAAAGTGTGTAATCACGAAGCACACGGAAACATGATTGATTGATTGATGAAGATTAAGCCACCCAAGAGGTGGCACGGGCATGAATAGCCCGTAAGTGGTAATAAACACAAACATGAAATGAACGCTTTTGTATATATTTCAGCACCTCTTTAAAGGTAGTATAATATTTCAGAAGTAAATGCATTAATTCTGAATAACTACTTTATTTCTGAAGTTGATTTTAAATATTTGCAATAACAACCTGACCAGAGTATATCATATTTAATTTTTATAGTGGTTATAAGTATTCATAAATATATTTACATTTAATAATTAAAAATAATAATGCTTTCCTATATGTTATTTGACTGGCAGTTCGCATGGTCATAAGGGCTCCACCGGGCACATCAGTGGGATGTCGAACGACGCCACCTATAGTGTGAAGGCTCTCCCTCTCTACTCCATCTTGCTGGCCCTCAACGTGACTGTGGTTGACTTTCTCTCCCTCGACATTAATGGAGATGAGTTGAAGGTGAGACATTCTTAAGCATTATGTTGCCTCAACCCACGAGCGCCTTTAAGTAAGGACTAGAGTCAAGCGCTTTCGTGTATTTGGTTTGATTTGGTGTTGAGCTTAAAGCTTATTATCCTCTGGTGGGGTTATTAAAGCCATTAAAAGTGATTGCCGACCAACCACCAAGTATACTATATCCATAGACATAGTCCAGATCTTAAGTAAACTCTGTATTTGCACCAATAAGTGGAATACACCTTTTGGTATATATATTCCTTATGTCGGAAGTTTCGAAGCACTTATTCAAATGGACCCGTCAAATGGACTGATCTGTACAGGCTGATGTCTTAATTCACTTGTAGTCTTTATATTGTTCGATTTTTCTTTAACAACTTATTAACATTTTTAATAAGAATATCGACTCTATATTTTATAAAGCAACAAAAACTAGCATACTTAAAAGGGTTTACTGAATTTCTAAAACTAGTCGAAATATATAAAATTATATTCAAACACAATGTATTCACAAAAGTTTTTCAGTCAAAACACATTTTAATGGCTGATTTTAGCCTAATATCATCAAATATTATACAGAAAATCACGTGGAAAATCTGTTGTGAGTGTCGCCTTACCCCTAAAGTGTGATGTTCGTCGAAGATGACCTTGACTTCAATATATCCGGTCGAAGGTCGGTAGGTGTGTGTCAGATGATGGAGGATGAGACCAATCTGGATCTGGAAGGCTCGCCTACACACGGGACATTTGTGGGTGCTACTGCTGAAGCGGAGGTTGCTCTAGCTTCGCTCATGGGGCTTTTCTTCTGGACCTCTGCAGTCCATCTGTTCTCTGCTGCACAGGTCCCTGTAGTGGCTTTGCTTTTCCAAGTTAGATGGTCCTGAGTAAGCGACTCCCAAGTATTGGGGTTGATATCCTGGTCTTTGAGGGTCACCTTGAGGCAGTCCTTGAATTGTTTCTTCCACCCTCCAAAAGAATGTGAGCCCTAGCATAATTCTCCATACTGCAGCTGTTTAGGCAGTCGGCAGTTAGGCATTGACAACAGCCCGCGCATCTGGCCGGAGTTTTCTATAGGAGGGTGTAGACGCTGGGAATATCGGCCCCTTCCAGGACTTCCGTGTCCGGAATTTTGTCCTGACACCTCATGTGGAGGAATTTGCAGGGACAGCTCAAGTGAAAGTGATTGAGTTGTTTAGCGTGTCTGCTGCAGGCGGTCCAGGCCACCCTGGCGTAAAGATGGGTGATGAGTATCACTGCATGGTAGACCTTCAGTTTGGTGGTAAGGTTGAGACCCCTCTGCTCCCAGACATTTCTCATGGAATCTTTCAAAGGCATCGCTGGCCATGGCAATTCTGTAGTTAACGTCGGTGTCTATGTTCACCGCTCTCGAGAGTATGGTGTCAAAATTGGTGAAGTTGACGACTGACTACAGTTCTGCCCCTCTTCTGACTACAGGTGCGGTTCCTGGTAGCGTATTCCAGGCGCGGGTTGGTACATGACCTCAATCGTTTTGGTGCTGTGACAATTTCCTTTACCTTTGTAACAGCCTGTAAACGCCTGAGGTTGAACAGCCCACCGTCAGTTCTGTATTTGACGGGTATTCCAACTTTGGCAATCACGAAAGACATCTGTGAGCATGACTAAGAATACCATTTTGAATGTTGATAATACCTTTTGACTCATCTCCATCGTCCAGTACTTTCGCTATCATGCCTTGTAACTGCCGGACAATCTCTGAATTTGACGGGACAGCAAAACTTCATAATTATTTTCCACAAGCCATCTCTGCTGACCATATCGAAGGCCTTGGTCAGGTCGACGAATATCACGGAGAGATCGTTATGTTGGTCCTGTCAATTTTCTTGAAGCTGGCGTGTAACAAATATCATATCGACAATCCCGCGTTCTGCGAGGGACTGTCAGTCTTAATCCTTCTGTCTCTCGCCTTGTATTTACTTACCGCTCATTGTCAACTGATTGAGAACCCAATGCATGTTTTATTTTCTCGAAACCCCCCATACAGAGCATGAACAGCATAAAAATGTACTGACCATCGTGTCAGACAGACGGTTGACCACAAAATCTTTTCATAAAGATGATGTCAGTACATTCCAGCGACGAGTAGAACCAGCAAAAAATGAATACAGATGCTGAACAAAGTCAAAGACGTTGACAGTCTGTAGACAACACTGCTGTTTTTACTCCCACCAAGTTCAGGCTGTGTCCAGCACAGGTGACATAAATGGCAAACTCAGTGAGTTGATGAATTCGGCTTGTAATCCAGTATATCGTCCAGACAAAATTGAGGCATTATCGTATGACTGACCACGGCAGTTTGATAGTGGAATTTTGTTCTCGTTAAGAAAGTCCACGACTGTGTGTGTTTGATCGTTAGCTCCTTGAGAAACTATGGGGATGAACATCAAGAAACGATCCACAGGCTCACAGCCTTTAATGTATCAGACAGTAAATGTTAGTTGATCTGTGTGTGAGATGTCTAGAGTGGAATCTACACTTATTGAATAATACTTTGACTCTTTTTTACATCTCAAGCATATTACAAAGAAACTTTTGCCCCAATAATTCAATAAATTCCTAAAAAAAAGCAGTTAAATATGACTGATTCCCTTTTCCAGGATTTCCATATATTTTGAGATTTTCTTCCAAGAGAGGGTCAAATTCACTCAGCAGTTCTATATACCTAATTAGTTGCCATTTTTTGCTGATCCAATAATCTGGTTTTCTCCACGAAATGACAAACTTCTAGAGGCAAGAAAGTGAATTACTGAAACCACACGTGTCAATACTTTATGCCAATAATCCTGCTATGAGCGATGTTGCTGAAGTAATGAAAAAAAATACACTTACAGTTTCTTTATGCCTTATCAAATATGCTGTCATGCACTTTCGACGTTTTTCTCTATTTTGATGTTCTACAATAATATTGCTGTGCTTCCAGTCATTAAACCCCAATGCAGCAAAAGGAGATTCTTTCTTGGACAAGAGGCGACATACAAAGCAGTACAAACGACCTTGCGATGGTGAATAGAGTAGCCAATCACGTTTTACAGACTCGCCATTCAGCAGTTCACAGTTGAATACATTGATAAATACCTTGCCTTCATATTCTCTACTCCAGCTGTTTTATACACTCTGCAGGAGTTTGAAAGGTTGCTATCATGATTCTGACATGATGAGGGCCAACTACAAATCCATTAATGTATTGTGTTAGTATCCATAGCCCCGGATCTGTCTCTTGGATTATAAATTCCTTTACTGTTAAAGGTTTGGGCATTTCCTCTAGTAAAATGTCACCAGCAGCAGCAACAGGCAATGATGGTACATCTGATGAAACTGGATGATTGGTAGCAGGAAAGGATTTTGATGTGGATACTATATCTGAAGGAACAGTACTAGTGCCTGACAGTGAAGGAGTGGATGCTGATGTGGATACTATATCTGAAGGAATGGTATGTGTGGCTGTCGTTGCACCTGTGTTGAGCCACGATGATAATTTTGGAAGTTTTCCTACATTCTCCATTTCCCCTGCAGCTCTCTTCCTCTTCTGTGCTCATCTCAAAACATTATGTTTCATTTCTACTGAAAGAGTTATTCATCTGGAAATATATATCGTAAATATTTAGTATTTAGTCCCACACCAGGATGTAGGGTTATATTATATTATATAAGTATGCTTGCAACAAGACCTAAATATTTAAACATTCTGCTTTCATAATGAACATGTTCTATGCTTGTGATGCCCTATGCTCGTGGTGCCCTATGCTTGTGGTGCCTGTATGCTCGTGGTGCCACTATGGTCGTGGGGATCCTATGCTCGTGCGGACCCTTTGCTCGTGTGGCCCCTATGCTAGTGGGGACTTTATGCTCATGGGGACCCTATGCTCGTGGGGGCCCTATTCTCGTGGCGTTCCCGGGAAAGTGCCAATCGGGTCCATGCGGTAAGGCGGCTCTGGTTTCTGGGATGGCAAATAATTGATTTACAATCTCAGACCATTTTAGTTTTTATGCCGCTTTCATAAAGTTTTCTCTCCATGTCGGGTTCCATATTCTTTTAACCAATCTATTTCATCATGGTTGAAGTCACCCTTGATCAAGAGTAGAATATATCAGTGGAATTTGACAGAATCAGTTTCAGTGATTCTGTGTCTGTGATTTTTCTCTCCCCTTCCTCATTATCTACTCTTTTCTTCGGCTCTTCCACCAATATTGCTCCTGTCCTTTCATATAGCTGGTTCGTGCTGTTTCCTGGTAAGTGTATGTTTGTGTGTGTGCGTGTGTGTATGTGTGTATGTGTGTATGTGTGTATGTGTGTGTGTGTGTGTGTGTGTGTGTGTGTGTGTGTGTGTGTGTGTGTGTATTCACCTAGTTGTTCTTGCGAGGGTTGAGCTCTGCTCTTTCGGCCTGCCTCTCAACTGTCAGTCAATCAACTGTAATTAACTATTAACTAATTTTGTTTTCCACGCACACACACACACAGGGAGCAGCTCCGTAACAGCTGTCTAACTCCCAGGTACCTATATACTATTAGGTAACAGGGTCATCAGGATGAAAGAAACTCTACCCATCTGTTTCCGCCGGCGCCGAGAATCTAACCCCGGACCTCAAGAATACGTATCCCATGTGCTGTCCACTCAGCCACCAACGCCGCCTGTGTGTGTACTCACCAAGTTGTGCTTGCGGGGGATGAGCTTTGCCTCTTTGGTCCCGCCTCTCAACCGTCAATCAACTGGTGTACAGGTTCCTGAGCCTACTGGGCTCTATCATATCTACATTTGAAACTGTGTATGGAGTCAGCCTTCTCCACATCACTTCCTAATGTATTCCATTAATCCAGTCTCTGTAAATGTAGTCAGCTGTATTTCTTTGGTGAGTACAGATTCAACTTGTACTCTACTGACCCTATCTAATTTCCCTAAACCTACCTAAGTAGAGGGTAAAGACCCCTCTTTAGGCATAACTAAGCACATATAGCAACTTAAAGA